TTTTTTTTTTTTTTTTTTTTCAAAAATTCATTTTCGAAAATGGAGAAGAGAACGTGTTTTCACCGTTTTGGAAAATCGAAAACAGAAAACGGCACAAAAACAATGAAGAGAACAGCCTCTTAGTGATGTAAATATCCAGAAAAGGGAATATTCAGTAATATCACTTCGTTTATATTCTCACCCTTGGACAATGAAGCATCAAAAATCATTTAGAGAAAACATGGTTCACCGGTAAACCTTACCCCCGCAGGGGAACATAACCAGCATCCAACATTTGCAACCACAACAATTCCTCCAGCATAGTGTATATTCTGTCTCTTTCAGGATGGAAACCATCTTCTGCGGAGAAAACATGACTATTGTCCTTGATTTCAATCCAGCTTTGACCTGGAACTTTCTTGATGCCATTTTGTCTCATCAAGCTCCTCACTGTGGCAACATCTTTCCAACTACCAGTTGAAGCATATATGTTGCAGAGCATCACATGAGCAGCAGAATTAGAGGGGTCAATCTGCAGAATATTCTCTGCAGCCCGCTTTCCAACTTCAATATTATTTCGAGTTTTACATGCAGCCAATCGAGCAAGCAAGTCAACAACACATGAATAATGCTCTCTTGTGGGGACTACACCGTGCTCCTCTTCCATTGTATTAAACAACTGCCACCCTTCTTCCACCAGTCCAACATGACTACACGCAGTCAAAACTCCAACCAATGTCACTTGGTTTGGCCAAGCTCCCGAACTCCTCATTTTTGTGAATAGATTTAGAGCTTCCTCTCCGTATCCAAACTGAGCATATCCCACAATTAAACAACTCCAAGAGAAAACATCAGGATTTTCCATGCAGTCAAAGAGTTTTCTAGCACTTTCTAGGGATCCACATTTCACATACATGTCGATAAATCCATTCATGACAGAGACATCAATAGTTATCCCGGTTTTCAAGGCAGAGCAATAAACTTGATGCCGCATTACTAAAGAGGCAATTTTCCCACAAACTCCAAGTACAATAGTTAAAGTAATATTATCCGGCCTATTATGAGTTAGCATCATCATTCTTAATATCAAGAAAACCTCTCCTGACTTCTTATGATGCACGCATGCAGTAAGCATGACATTCCAAGAGACTAGATCAGCCTTGCTTTGTATCTTGTTGAACATTTTATTCACATCATTAAAATCTGAACAATTCGCATACATTGAAACTATCGTATTACAAACTAGAACATCCAAATCTAATCCTGTCTTCATAATATAGGTGTGAACTTGTTTCCCTTGACAGAGAGTTAATGGATCTGTGAAAGCACTAAGTAAAGAACGAACGATGATATCATCTGGTCTCGATTCCTGATATCTCATCCGAGAAAAATTCAACATGGATTCATTCGCATCACCACCATATGCAAAGGCTGCAATGAGTGCCTTCCAAGACACTACATCAGGATTTTCTATCTGGTTAAAGGCAGTTTTTGAGTAACATAACAAACCGCATTTCCCATACATATCAGTGAGGGAGCAACCAGAAAAAACATCTCCTCCATGACCAAATTTTATACTTACTCCATGTATCTGTCTTCCATATTCAGGCTGTCCAAGATAACCACACTAAAAACACTGCCAAAGATAAATTCATTTGGCGGGTATGTACTATGACATAGCATTTCCTTAAAACACGTCGATGCTTCTAACTCGTAACCTAGTTGTGAAAACCCAGCAATCATTGAACTCCATGAAATTAAATCCCTTAACTTGATGCTAGAAAACACAATGTGTGCCTCATTAATTTGACCGAACTTTGTGTGCATTGCAATAAGAGTGTTTTGGGCTACAAGGTTGGAACCAAATTCCATTTTAATTACATGGGCATGCAACTGCCTTCCCAACTCAACCTCATTCATACTTGAACAAGCTCTAATTATACTTCCAAATGTGAACTGATCCAGCATAATACCTGCCCGTAGCATTTGAATATACAGATTTATGGCTTCTTCCAATTCTAGACCATTCTGTTAGTATCTTGGCATTTTGGATTCTTTTCTAAACTATCAAACAAACGAAGGGCCTCTATGAAAAGCTTTTGCTTGCATAAAGAACTTAAGTAATCATTAATTGATTGTTTGTTCTGAAGATACAGAGTGTGAATTCTACAGCTACACATACTTACAGGTACAGTTAAGCGTAGGCCACAATCCTTTCATCATTTTGTCAGGAAACCAAAGGAAGCCCTAAAAATTTCCTTTGTTTCACTTCCTCTCTACTGTATATATTTTCCATTAGATTCTGAGAAAATTCCAACCAGGACCTACAATGTATCAATGAAATACTTGATCGGAATATGCAATTGAAGTGATGAATTGAGTCAAAAAAACAGGGAGCTTGTTGACATAAAATAATTGCATAAAATGAGTAGGATGATAACAACCCATGAGTAAACAATATCAAAGTTCCCAAAGAATTGCCCATGAGATGCACTTATAGGATTATATATACCATAACATCTATCTCCAAAGTTTCTTCCTAAAAGGTCACCAATATTCCCAAATGCTACCTGGATTACAAAATAAGAACGCAATTCTTTTTACGTTTAGCTTTTCTTCTTCTTCTTTTGAATGAACAACTTCTTTACTTATTTATGAGCCATAAATCATCTCAATAGTTTTCGTGGGCATTTTGTCGAGCATAAGGCATATGATAGTAGAGGATGCTATAGTGCATTTTGTTCGCGAAATATTTCTTTCGATTTAAATTATCGCAAGTGTACGGGTCGTGACAAGTAATAAAATGGACTTTAGAAGTCCGAGTATCGTCCCACAGAGAAAGAGTAGTTCAATTTTACTTATTTTAGCCTTAACCGAAACTAATTGAGTTGAAATGAATTTTGGAATCAAAGACCCTAATTTTGGGAGAAATCCCCAAATTGAAAAACCGTAATTTCAAATCAAACCCTAAATTGGGGGAAATCCCCAAATTGAAAAACCCTAATTTCAAATCAAACCCTAAATTGGGGGAAATCCCCAAATTGAAAAACCCTAATTTCAAATCAAACCCTAATTACTTAAATTCACTTAACTAATAATTCAATTACGAAATGTTATGAAAAATTAAATGAAATGTATTGTCAATTTATGAAAGTCTATGTAAAACGAACGCACTAGGATCACGAATCCCCAAATATTTATTGATTAAACCATAATTTCACAATTTTGATAATTCAATAAGAATTTGATAAATCAATGCTCCTAAATCTATTCAATATTCTCTTTCGAGATGTATTGAACCTATTCTCGTAAATCATCAGTCTATATCTCTATGACGGATGCAATTTTACAAGAACGCATATAATCTTTTTTTGAGCAATTAAAGATTTACATAGGGCATAGGGGTATATTTCTATCCCCTATCGGACCCTATGATGAATTATATATGTCGAGTCTAGTCTAATTTTCTCAAATTCAGAATTAAACCACCAAATTCACACAAATCAAGTGCACATTAATTGTGGAAATAAATAAACCAATATAATCCATTCAAATATCCATCAAACTAATAATTTAAAATCATGAAATAGCAAGTTTAATAAAAATTACATGGTTCATCGATCGCCTAGTTGCAAAAATCTAGCCTATCATGATAAAAATAACGAAAACTAACAAAATATGAATAAAATACATCACCGGGTTATCAAAGATTGAAGAAATCTCGTAAATCTCGCATCAATTGCTTGTTCTTGCCTTCAATTCCACTCCAAGATGAATGTTTTTGCCTCCCAAGTCGTTCGTGCCGCTTCTGGACGTGTTGTTGCTATTTAAACCCGTCCAAATTAGGTTACCAAAGGAGTTGCAATAATATAAGGAAAGTGCAAAATTCGGGAAAATTTATACCTATGCGACCGCATAGGCATAACCTATGCGACCGCATAGGTTTAAGAAAAATGACTTTTTTAATCCCTGGAGGTTCACTCGCGGTCGCATATGTTTTATACTATGCGACTGCATAGTAGAGCTTCTTTCTTGTTTGAGTCATTTTGGTCCTCAATTTTCATTCCTTCACTCCTTGACCTCCTCTCTTGTTCCTAGTTGCTCCAATGTTCCCTTATAACTTCAAATTGGTGCTTGGCTTGATCAATTGCTTGATATGTTTATCGGGTCAACTTTCAGACAATTGCAATTTGGTCCCTGAATTTTCATTTTGCTCCAATTTGGTCCTTTTCGGCTCTTTTCTCCTGAATTCCACTATTTCCATAGAATTTCCTACATTGCATGAATTTGACAAAGTTAAGTAACAATTCAATTATTTTACTTGTATTTAAATCATGTTTGTGATGAAAATAAGTGTGTAAAAACACACTTATCACATTTGAGAATATTTGTGTTACAAGTCATATCGAGGGAGAATAATTTTTAAATGATAAATACAAGAAAAAGGAGAAACTTTGAGAATCTTTCGGAAATCAATATTGAATTTTGGATAAAATGGCATTAACAAAGAAACATAAGTAGCCGCAACCGTTTTCAACTTTATTGCATTTGCAAATTCGTCCCTAACATTTTCTTTTACAATTGTGTCAACAACTCATTTAACCAACAAATTCAAATATTTAAAGGATAAAATGGTCATTTTATTATAATCAATTAAAATATTAAATATTCAAAAATTAGAAGAGAGATAAATTGAAAATAATAAAAAATAAAAGTGTCTGAAGTAAATTTTTTGAGAACTGAATTCGAGAAAAATGATATTTTTGAAGAATGAGTGATTAAAAAGTGAAAAAATATTAATTCACATGCAAAATTATTTTATGTGGAAAAATATACGATTGAGCTTTTAAGAATTTCTGCCAAACATTTCCATCTCCACCTCCCCCAAACCTACCACCACACCACACATATCACTGCAGTGGACACCACACCACTTTCAACACCAGGGGCGGATCCAAGAATGTAGGACACAAGGGCTGAAATCTAAGAAAGTCAATAACTTAAAGCTGATGGTTTCTAGTACTAATCTAATCAACTAGTACTAATCTCCATCGATTCAACTGTCAAATTCCAATAATAACTTAACCATATCCCAGCCTTTCTATTTTCCTTGAGCTTCCGTCTGGACATCCCGATTATACCCTACCGTTGTCCTTGAACTTACTACATACGACCTCTATGTCAACGTCTCAACTTTTCATCAACGCCATCATCTTCGTCCTTTGACTCCAAATTCCACACCCAATCAGGGGCATTGTCCAACAGCAGAGACCATAGGGGCATCTTAGAATTCTCAACCTTATATCAATAGTAATGTCCAAACTTCTCCCAAAGTACAGAATATGCATGTGACTGATAAAATTGCTGCTGCAACTAAGGCAATTGCCCCATGATCCAACTTTTCAAAAAGCATTAGCAGCAGACATTGTAACTTTTGTTGGAAACTCAGGCGGTGATGTTTAAGAAAATCATGGTTCATGAGGAAATCCTGGACATAATTTTAATCTATATTTTCCTCAATAATCCATGAATGATGGGATTGGGTGTGAACAAGCTGCCTCAACCATAGAATTCCCAACAAAAAATTGATATCATTTTCTCCATTAACATTTTCGAGATGTAAATCCGCACTCCAAACTGAATCCATTAAAAATTTTCACTCCTTTTTCATTCAACACTCATTTTAGAGGGGCAAAAATTTTAAAATTCTACAAGAACATAGCTACAGCCTACAATATAACTAAATCAATATGTTCATTGCTCAATACCTAATTTATTCAAGGCAATTTTCATGTAACATACGCACAGATTTTTAGTCAATTTATACATAATTTAACTTAAATGATTAAGACCAAATCGAAACAATGTACAGATCAAACTTACATACATGTCTACAACCGGACCTGCTAAATCTTTTGAAAAGAGTAAGTAATGCAGTAGCAATCTGAAGAAATGACAAAATAATTTAGCCTTTGGCCTCAATTTTTAGCTTAATGCGACATCTGTAATTATTAAATTGAGAATCCCACATTCACCCCAAAAAAACATATAGCCCCTGTTTGGTTCTCATTCTTTTCCCATTAAAATGAAAAATATGACCGTTATCAATCACATCAAGCCATCAAATTTGAATTTCTATCTCTTGTGTGGGGCCATAACGACAATATTTTTCATTCTTATTCTTATAGAAATGAGAAACAAACGACCCCATAATAAAATAAAGCATCTAAAAGACATAAGAGATAAAGCTTAAAGGCGAGCAGATTCCAAGAAATTGAGTGTATCTTACACACGATTGAGCCTATCTACCAAATTGACTGATTGAAGGTGAACTGAGTGTATAGACTGTGAGAGACGTAAAGAGCACGAGAGAGATGAAGGGGCCGTTTGAGCCCCCATTATTTGTAGATTATAATGAGATGAATAGTATTTTTTTGAAAAATAAGTAGTTGAAAAGTTTTTGATTTACGTGTAATATTATTTTATTGAAGATTGTCCAGTTAAAAGTAGCACAGAGAGAAAAATTTAATTTAATGTAATGAGAAATAATGGGGCTCAAACGGGGTGAAATGTCTAGGTCTGGGTTTGGGGAATTAAATTGGGCTAATGGCTTATGATTTTTCCTTTTGGTGTAGATCCGGTACTGTCCACCACCGCACAATCCCCATGTTGGCAACCTGGTCGCTGCCAAAAAAAGGGCAGAATGGTTCGGAAAAGAAAACCCCCTCAAAGGACACTTTGACAAATTAAAACCCAAAACTGAATCAAAAGAAGTGTGATTAACGTAACTTATAACAAACTTATGTCGTAAGTAGCAAAATCTCAAAGCGAACAATCGAATTATGAAGTTCCTATGGCATAAATAATATGCACAAGTTCATTTATTTTCCGTGAGGCATGGTACATAAAGCCAGCTTGAAGAAATGGAAAGAGTCCATTCACCTATACACAATATGAAAACGTTCAACTAAATTAATTAAAAAATAAATAAAAAATCGATGTTCAGTGTAATCGCCACTTACCTTCGGTTCATACGACTGCAATTTAAAATCATCATCACCCACATTTGTTTTCTTCTTTGCTTTTGATATTTTTTCTATTTACGTTGTCTCACTTCATATTCATTTTCTCCCACTCCAAAACTCTAGTTTTCGATCTAGATAGACAATGGACACTGCTGGTCAAAACAATTGATTCGAGTGTGGCTGCGAACCAAGTTGCCAAAGTTGGCAGAAAATGGGGGGGTTTTTACCCGATGTTCTGCCAAAAATGGAGTGGTGCTTTGGTGACCGTTGTGTGGTGTAGGCAGCGCGGTGTGTTGGGGGTAGGCACAGGCGTACAGGGCAAAAGATGATTAATTATGAGTAAATTGCATTATTCATCCCTAACCTTTGAGAAAGGTAGCGAATCAATATCAACCTTATTTTTGTCCCAATTTTTAACCTAAAATAAATAAATAACAAAAAATATAGAAAATCCATTCATCCACCCTGCCCTTCAACATCACCACCATCAACACCACACATCGGTTTACTTATCTTGCAGGAATTCATGTCATGTGATAGCGAATATTACAGTTAATAATTTTTGTGTGCGCATGAACTTGATTTATTTCAATATTTTGACAGTCTTAAAATGATATTTTTCAAATACTAGTCTTTGTCCGTGAATTTTATTTTGAAGGTAATGTTTGTGTATAAAATGTATTAATTTTCAAAAATTACATCATTAAATCAATGTTTGCTGTCTGGACGTTGGGATTGACTTTCCTTTATTTATCATGCAAAGAGACTTAATAAGTTGTTATTATATTATTCCAGACAAAGTAAGCAAGTGAAGGAGTCTATTTTTTCAGTAATAAACATTTTATTGTTAGTAAGGGCAACAGAGAGACTTACACATTATTAAATCTTCAAATTTGTGATGAAGTATGCGGAAATCTAGCCTATGTCCAACTTCATTTTCTCAAATACTTCCAATTAATTAAAATGACTTTTCATTCTACAACAACATATGAACACCTTATCATATTTACAAAATGAGTGAATCTACCATGCTTTTACATGTACCTCTCCATCACAATAAATTCAGCACCCATAACTAATCATTAAAAATGGATTGTTATTTTAGTCCAAAAGAACTACATAAAACAGTAGATCAAAATGCAGGCATACTTTATTCAGTTATTAACATTACTAAAATAGACCAAAGTATTATTGAAAATTTTGAATTCTAGAACAAACGATGCCAAAGTATTATTGGATCATTTTAGAGGGGCAAAAATTCTAAAAAATTTAGATTTTAATATACACTAGATAAATGTGTCATTTGTCTTTGAGAAATTAGCGGAATTCGTACAAATTCAAATATTAAAAATGATGAAATGGTCATTTCGTAATATAAATCAAAGAATATATTCTAAATTGTTGTATTTTGTGTTAAACAGGTAACATTCGATGATTGAACAAAGAATTGGAAGAAACAAAAGGATAAGCCATTAAAAAGCGTGAAATCCAAAAGATAGGGATCAAGTTGCAAAAATTCAATAGTTGGATCAAACCATGAATTGGAGATTGAAGATGC